AAGATTAAAATCTAACAACAATGTAAAGCATTTTTTTGTTCTGTACTCTTTAATAATACATTTTAAGACTTAATTATATTTTTTTTTCGCTCTCATTCCGCAGGAATTGCCGAATAAGCCGATATAAATTATTGTTTCAATTGACAACTAGAAAATTTTTCATGGAAAAAGTAAACATGGAGAGACATTTGAGGCACCTGAACAGTCGATTTTATTGCAATATAGACAATAAAAGCCGCTATCCACCAGGAAAATCAATACAAGAAGAAAGAACAAAAGGTCTGCGTGCCAAAATAATTGATGAATTTAACCAAACAAAACATAAAGTTGAGGAAATTATTGAGAGGGAAAATATATGGACAGTTCCGAATTTTCTCTGCATTGGCAGGATAATATCGACACCTTGCTTGAGTTATTTGATAGTTTCTCACGATTATCAGGTAATTATTGCTGAAAAAATATTAAAAAATTATTTTTAATAAAGTGTAGTGTGATCTATTAGGTAGCCCTGTGGATTTTGGGTTTTGCTGGCCTAACAGATTTCATTGATGGATGGATTGCGAGAACATGGACGTCTCAGGCTTCTAAATTAGGGAGTTTTTTGGATCCAATGGCCGATAAATTATTGGTTGGATCACTGTTCCTATCCCTGGCTTGGGTCGGGCTTATTCCCATGCCCCTGACTGTACTTGTACTCGTAAGGGATGCTAGTTTAATTGCTGCAGCATCCTACATTAGATATCGTTCTTTACCCGCGCCTGTAAGTAATTGAATATGTATTTTCTTCTAAATAAAATATGGTGTACATTTGGATAAATACATAATAACTGTTGTTTATTTTAATATTTAATGTACAATATTTACAATATTATTGCCACTACTTTAATAATATTTTTATTTTGTTGAAATAGAAAACTTTGACGAGATATTTTGATCCCACCCACGCAACAGTTCAACTGGCGCCTACGTTTACTAGCAAATTGAATACAGCAGTTCAACTATCTTTAGTTGCGAGCACTTTGGCAGCTCCAGTTTTCCACTTCGTTGATCATCCACTTCTTCAAGGGCTCTGTTATTTAACTGCTATAACCACAGTAGCCGGTGGTGTTAGTTATTTAATGTCGAAAAATACATACAAATATCTTTCGAAAAAAAAACACTCGAAAGATCCACCATCGTGACGATACACTGAGAAATTTGATTGTTGCATTTTATTTAATTCTATTGTCGCATAATAAAAATACTCTTCAAGTGTGGACGAAAGTAACCAATTGTTCGTATTATTATTTCGTTTTTTCACTTCACTCGCAATGTCAATATCGTTCGTAATTACTATGCAATAATTTACTATGCAAAAGTATATTCACTCAAGGAATTGCTCTCAATTATTGTGGATGAAAATTTTTATATATAATAGGGATGCGGTGGTTTGTACATTTCATAAGCAAATTCTTCTCTGTGTTTGGGATCCTGTTGAACTCCAATATAATCTATTTCAAGATTGAAAGGTCCTGGTATGCCGGTTGCAGTAATACCTATGGATAAAACTTCCCAAAGTCGGATAGGTGCTTGTGAGTCTTGAATTCTACCCCTATTAGTTAAAAAAAATTTGGAGAATGGTATTTTTACATATTGCCAGTACGGCCCACCTCTAGTATAAAGTGGAAACCCGTGAAGATCTGCCCACATGATGTCATATTCATTCTTCAAGTGCAAATAAATCATGTATGAACGTCCGTCACCACGAACTCGTAATATCAAGTGCGTATAACGAAACCACTGGAACGGTTTTACAATTTTGAAGGGACCACGAGGTACGACCGACCTGATATTACAAAAACCAGCAAGATTAAGTATACCATCTTTTGGAACACGCGTGTCAAGCCTTCCAGAAAATACTCCAGCTCCAGTTGATGATAACTCTAAACTAATAATAGAAAAACCACACATTACATTTTTAATAAATAAATTATAAATTCAACTTACGTCGCTTTGGAAAATCCATGGTTGTAGTCGCTGTCGCAGGTGACAATCCACTTATCGAGAATTTTAGGATCTCCATTGAATTTCCACTGAACATCAACTTCTTCAGGATATACCAGCAACGTTGGATCGACATGGAGAGAATCTTTTATTTCTTCACCCAGTTTTTTACATTCTTCAATAAATTGGAAGTAGCCTTTATAGATTCTTTGAAGAGGATTCAATTTTTCCTCTTTATAATCTGATATATGTGGGTAGCCGGACTTTGGGTCTACCTCGTGAAAAACCAGAGCTTTCTGGGATATGTGAAGGTGCCTCAATAATTGGTTTTTCAAATTGCACATATTCACTAAACGAGCGACCAATGGAGTCACCATTGTATATACCATTATAATAAATATGTTTTTTTTTCAGCTTTTCTCTCTATGTACTAGCTTGTGTTTGAACCTAACCAAAAGCACAATTTTGGTTTCATTTTTATTTTTATGGGAACTAGCGCCCCCCCTTTGGCACACACGATGCGGTAATATAATCCCAAGAGGATTGACTAAAGTAGAGGCTCAGTTCTCGGGGTTGAAGACACCCCAGCGAC